AATCAGGTTGTGCACCGTTGCTGTGTTAATTACTCTGCCAACAGAAGGAAGATAAGCAGCCTGAGAAGATGTTGTCAAAGGCTTTCACGGCCGGAGTTCATTAGTTGTAGATTTTCTGGGCTGTATGGCCGTGGTCTTGGCATTGTAGAACCTGACGTTTCACCAGCAGCTGTGACTGGCATCCTCAGAGGTATAACACAGAAAGATGGAGTACTCTCTGTGTCAGTGTGAGAAGCCTGAGTCAAGCCTGTGTCAAGCCTGAGAAGACTCTAGAGCAATGTATGCAACGTATGTCAACATTTAGAGCAAGAGAACAACAAAGAGCCATCACAAAGAAAGCCTATTGGCCTAACTTTTTAGTAGTGATCAATGATATGTCAATTAAAAATCCATATAGTTCCTCAGCCCCAACACTAGTTGGTGCCAATCCTCATTAGGAAGCTGCACACACAAAGTTTCGCAATGAAACACAATAAAGCTCCCACTTCCCTGGCTCTCTGCAAACTATGCAAAACCAAGTAAGTCAACAGGGCTAACATGAAAGTAAGCAAACTCTGGAGCATGACGGAAGTTAGGAGGGCCTGGCATGATGTGGTCCATGGGGTCACGAAGAGTCGGACTTGACTGTGTGTTGTTGTTGTTCAGTCGCACAGTTGAGTCTGACTCTTCGCAACCCCATGGACCACATCACGCCAGGCCCTCCTATCTTCTATCGTGTTCATTGCCTCGACAACACTGTCTAACCATCTCGTCCTTTGCCGTCCCCTTCTTCTGTTGCCCTCAGTCTTTCCCAGCATCAGAGTCTTCTCCAGTGAGTGCTCCCGTCTCATTTGGTGGCCAAAGTATTTGAGCTTCAGCTTGACGGATTTGATCTCCTTGACGTCCAGGGGACTCTCAAGAGTCTTCTCCAGCACTGTAATTCAAAAGAATCTATGCTTCGGCGCTCAGCCTTCCTTATAGTCCAACTCTCGCAGCCATACAGTACTGCTGGGAATACCATTGCTTTGACCATACGGACTTTTGTTGGCAGGGTGATGTCTCTACTTTTTATTATACTGTCTAGGTTTGCCATTGCTTTCCTCCCAAGGAACAGGCGTCTTTTAATTTTGTGGCTGCAGTCACCGTTTGCAGTGATCTTGGATCCTAGGAATGTGAAGTCTGTCACCGCTTCCACGACTTCTCCTTCTATTTGCCAAGGAGCAATGGGGCCGGATGCCATGATCTTAGTTTTTTTGATGTTGAGTTTCAAGTCAACCTTTGTGCTCTAAAATAGACATTGTGGGTATTTCTGAAACTTGGTGGGATGAGGAAAATCAGTGGGATACGGTGATTCCTGGTTATATATTATATCGGAAGGATAGGGGGGGAAGGGTTGGAGGTGGGGTGGCTCTGTATGTCAGAGAGGGTATAAAGTCCAGAAAGATTGAGAGGCTAAGAGAATTGGATTCACTTCTGGAAGTTCTATGGGTTGAAATAGGGGGGGCAAAAGGAAACTTAACACTGGGAGTTTGTTATCACCCACCAGATCAAAAGATAGAGGAGGATTATAAAATGATGAATGAATTAAAGATAGCAGCTAGACAAAAACACTGTGTCATAATAGGTGATTTTAACTACCCACACATTGATATAATGATATTCTGAGTTAAATTCGCCCAAGATGTCAATGTTCAGTCTTGCCATCTCATTTTTGACCACGTCAAGCTTACCTTGATTCATAGATCTTACATTCCAGGTTCCTATGCAGTATTGTTCTTTGCAGCATCGGACTTTCCTTTCACCATCAGACACATCCACAACTGAGTGTCCTTTCGGCTTTGGCCCAACCGCTTCACTCTTTCTGGGGTTACTTGTACTTGCCCTCTGCTCTTCCCCAGTAGCATATTGGACACCTTCTGACCTGAGGGGCTCAACTTCCGGCGTTATATCTTTTAGCCTTTTGTTACTGTCCATGGGGTTTTCTTGGCAAAGATACTGGAGTGGGTTGCCATTTCCTTCTCCATTACCTGCCTTGACTGTGTGACTGAACAACAAATAGGGCTGCAATGTAACAAAATGATTCAGAACAATACTTGGGTAAAGCATTTGAGACTGTGGTCCGTACTGTTATGTATAGCTCGTGCTGCCTATTGCTGTAAGTAGGACCCTGCTGCGTAATTTTTGCAACATTTAATGTGCCATGTTAATACTTCGCTTCAGTTCTGTTTTCAGATTTCTGGTTGGTTCCCAATTTCTACAATACAAATCCTATTGCATTGGTTTATTAGATGCTGTTGATTCTGTTGACTCATTTTGTATCAATCACCTTGAGTCCCAGTGAGAAAGGTGTGTTATAAATAACATAAATATAAATAGATAAGGTAGCACTCTGCACGATTGTTATAGTAGTGAATGGCATAAACCTATGCATGGTTTGCACTTGGATTGGTGGCTGGCAACTGATCTCCTGTGTCATCTCCCTAGAAATGTCTGTTCCCTGGAATCTTCCCTGTCATTTCCCTCTCTGGACAGCCTCCCTTCAACCCCATTAAAATCTTTGCCTGCCACCCCCTTCACATACCAATTATTCCAGCATCCTACCCACCCTCAGCCCCGTAGCTAGGGATTGGGGGGGGGGAGGCTCAGGGGGGCTGCAGCCAGTTTGCTGTAGTGGTTAAGAGTGCAAACTGGGAGAACTAGGTTTAATTCCCCACTCCTTCACATGCAGCTGCTGGTGTGACCTTGGGTCAGTCATAAATTCTTTCTGAGCTGTTCTCTCAAGGCTAGTTCTCGAGAGAGCTCTCTCAGCCCCACCTACCTCACAGGGTGCCTGTTGTGGGGAGAAGAAAGGAAAGGGATCGTAAGCCGCTCTGAGACTCCTTTGGGTAGTGAAGGGTGGGGTATAAATCCAATCTTCGAAATCAAAATTTATTGCATTAACTTAATCCGGGGCCAGCCTGGGAGGGAGGGCCCCCCAGAAGGAGTGCTAGAGGGCTGGGCCCCTGTAGCATTAGCTACAGGCCTGCCCACCCTTCCCATAGACTTGAACGGATTTATTTCATTTGCTTTCTAAAAGAGCCACATTTGGCTCCTTTGGATCACTCTTTCATGAACAATCACCGCTTACGAGAAAGAATAACTAAGCAGAGATAGGATGAGTGGGAATAATAATAATGGAAAACAGACAATAGGAATGGAATAGTTAAAGCCAAAACGGCATAGCAAGGAGGGGAAGGTTCTCCTCCGATAAGAGGGAGGAGGGTTTCCTCCTGTTGCAGAGGCTTCCTCTGCAGCACCCAGTTTCGGAGACAAGACAACCCTGTTCAACTTTCCTTTATAGGTATGGAAGAAAGACTATAAGTATCAAATAAGGATGCACGGAGGGAATCCAGCAAAAGAAGCATAGAAGTCTTGAATAACTTAAAGAAGGGTGTAATAATGTTTAGATAATGAATTAGAGGAAGTTGTACCGTGGTTAGGGTTGCCAAGTTGGATTGGCGCTGGAGTGGGGGACTCCAGTGCTGTTCCGGGAGTGTGTGCGCGCGCGCCACAACCACGTCACCCGGACGTGATGCAACCACACCGGGCACGCTGGGGGCAGGGCCATGACCATCCGAGGGAAAACCATAGATACACACCTGAACAGCATACTCAAGATCAATGTTCCCTTTAAGCTGTGGAATCTTGTGAGCAAAAATTCTACTTTGTGAGCTACTGGCATTAAAGTTGTGAGCGAGCAATTTGGCTACTGCATAAATTAATTTGCTTTGGAGCCATCCTTCCTAAGCTAAGACAAAAATGTTGAACTAGAGGCTAAAAAACTGTGAGCTAGCTCACACTTACTTAGCTTAGAGGGAACACTGCTCAAGATTGCAACAGCAATAATTGCAACAGCAATAATAATAATTCAGAGCAAGAGGTGTCAGTTATCAGACACTGTTAAATAAACAAAATATCGCAAGGGTGCTATATGTTTTAAGCCTGTTTTTTATTTTAAGTTAAAAAAAACCTTTGTGTTTGTGTCCTTTATAAAGTTTATATTTCTGCTACCTGGCATTACATTTTATGACACACATGGCCCGGCCCAACAAGGTCTCATTTATGTCAGATCTGGCCCTCATAGCAAATGAGTTCCACACCCCTGCCTTATAGTCTAACTCCCAAAGTGGCCATTTTCTCTAGGTGAACTGATCTGTCACCTGGAGATCAGCTGTAATAGCATGAGATCTCCAGCCACCACCTGGAGGTTGGCAACCCACTGCCCAAGGTGAGCACACCCTCTGCTGGCACCTACCAAGTCTCTTTAGGAAGTGGGTGGGGCCACGTAGGGCTTTTGCCAGGGAAGCTTCTGATTGACTACTGGAGACCTCATTGGCTGTGCAGATTTTTAAAAAAATATTGCTCTGGCAGCAGCTGTCACCACAGCACAAGGATCTGCACTGTGTGTTAACTGAAGTTAAGCTGTGGCAATCATATTTGTGGCTGGCTAAACCTTCTGCAGCTGCCGTTTTGATGCTGCGCCCACCACGCCCTGTCAGAATTCCAAATGCGCCTACGGGCTGAGAAAGTTTGGGGACCCCTGGATTACAAATCGGCTGGACCATTGGTACTTTACGTGGGGATGTCTCTTTTGAACGCTCCTCCTCCATATTAAAAACAAAATCCCACTGCAACCTCCTCCATATTAAAAACAAAATCCCACCGCAAATAGAAAAGCAGCACAACAACCAGAAGATGATTTCCTTTTTCTCGAATGTGCCAATTTTCTTGGGGTGTTTTTAGAAACGTGGACAGGCGATCAAAGGCCACTCCCGTATAGCCCGCAACGGTACAGACCACTCGGCCACGTTGTTTCAGTCTACTGCACGTGGCGGGAGTTCCCAGGGCGCGGTTCCGTTTCGCGGCCACTTGAGGGGGCGTGGCGTGTGACTTCTGGCCGGGCGTTCGTGGCTCGGGGGTGGAGTTTTCGGAGTCAGATCGCCAATGTTGCTGCCCGCAGTCTCCATTGTGAGTAAGGAGTCCCATGCTGGACAAGCGCTCTGCTCTTCCGGGGAAGCCTTATGTCGGTCTGTGCCCAACCAATGCCGGGACTGTCCCAAGCTGGAACCAGACCCCTGGGCCAGATCTTGCAGCAGATCTTAGCTCTTGGACAGAAGGGGATCCCAGGTAAATGTGGTGGAGGAGAAGGAAGAGGGAACGGGACGGGGTGAGAGGGGAAACGACTGTACAAAGAGCGCTTTTTACCCGCCCTTTTGCACAGGACTCTGTGGGACACTTCCCTGCCTCATTCAGGGCTGCTGCCCATGTGCTAACCCATGTGCTTTGAGCAGAAAGGGGAAGAAGAGATCCTGGGTGGGGGGCTAAGGGAATACGTTCTTCAAATCACGTAATCCGAGAATTAGGTATACCACAACGCTCTTGCAATCAGCGCTGCAAATCCCCTTAATTCGAATTAGTTATACTACACCGTTCTTGGAATCAGCGCTGCAAATCCCCTTAATTCGAGTTAGTTTTGCCACAGCGTTCCTGGAATCAGCGCTCCCCCGCCCCCGCCCCCGAAGGACCCATTTCGGTAGTGAAAGCCTCAGAGCCTTTAGACACTGGCTCTCTGGACTTCCTCTGCTTTATATGCCTTCCCTTGACACCGGAAACCGCGCCGCCCCCCCCCCGCGCGCCCTTTACCCAACTTTTTCTAGAACAATGTTGATTATTGATTATTATTGGCTTCTCGTGTTCTGGGCTGAAATGCAGTTATTATTGCGTGGCTATTCCTCCCTCCCAGTTTTGCATTGGTTTGCATGTTGAACTGAATGATGTACTCTAGAAGAAAAGAAGCTCAGCTGTTCAAAATAACTAACCAATCAATGCAGCCTTAAGGATGAAATGTGAATTCGGAACTTCTCTTTGCATCCTTGCACCTTAGAGATTGCCTAGTTTAGTAAGATATGTGTACATTACCTGGAAGGATGCTCTTGCTTGTGGGCACCCATATAATAGTAAGCAAGGTCAGAGGTTTTCAGAAGGAACTCTTAGGGAATGTTTTCCAGGTTGGTATGTTGGCTCAAGCTGCGGTGGCTCAAGTGGTTAAGACGCTGAACTGCAGGCTGTGGAAGGTCGGTAGTTTAGCAGTTCGAGACCCGAGTGCCGCATGACTCCTGTCTCTAGTTCCAGCTCCTGCCAACCTAGCAGCTCGAAAGCAAGAAATTGCAAGTAGATAAATAGGCACCACTTCAGTGGGAAGGGAGCAGTGTTCCGTGCGCCTTGGTGTTTAGTCATGCCGGCCACGTCTTCGGACAGCGCTGGCCCTTCGTCTTTGAAACTAGAGTCGGATTCGACTGGCTTTCGAGCAAGGGAACCTTTACCTTTACCTATGTTGGCATTTAACAGTTTGTTTTGCAGAGGATTCTGGGGTATATTCCAGCCTGGGCTACACATGTATTGAAACAAGTCAGTAGAATTTTGAGGTGGTAAAATGGGCTCTATCACATCAAACGGTAGGATCCTATTTGTCAGTTCTCCCTGCGTAAACATCTTCCTGCAAGTAAGCAAAGTAGCACAGCAGAGACTGGACTGCCCAGACCCGGATGGCCCAGGCGGGCGTGATCTTGTCAGATCTCAGACCCTAACCGTGATTGGTGCTGATCACAGCAGAGACTGGACTGCCCAGACCCGAATGGCCCAGGCTGGCGTGATCTTGTCAGATCTCAGAGCCTAACCGTGATCGGTGCTGATTAGTACTTCGATGGGAGACCTCCAGGGAAGTCCAGGGTTGCTATGCAGAGGCAGGCAATGGCAAACCACCTCTGAACATCTCTTACCTTGAAAACCCCATCGGGTCGCCTCAAGTCAGCTGCGACTTGAAAGCACTCTCCACCTCCGGAGATTGGACTGAGCTAGATTGTTTCTCATGGAGGTACGGATTTTTCTTTTCTAACTTTTGAGGAGGGTTTCTGTGAGGGGGCAGTTAAACAGTGCTCTTCCCCACTTGCACTTCTAAGAGAGTTGCTTCTTACCCAGTGCTGCGCATATAGACCAGGCCTCAGTTTATGCAATTGGGCGGCCAGGCTTGTTGGGCCCCACGTTCACCCCAGACAATCTGAGACTGCCCTGAGAGATCTTCCTGGCAACTTTGCATTCCAAGGTACAATGCGAGGGTGGGGAAGCCATCTTTCCGCAAATGCAACTCAATGTCACTTATCTTCTCAGTGATTCGATTAAAACCCACAATGTTCTTTGGGATAGTTGAGAAACTAGGTAGTCTCCAAGGTTTCACAGGATTCTGCCTTTATCTTAATGAGGTGGCCCCCACCTTATGGAACGGAGGAGGTCAGGAAGGCTCTTCCTCTCCCGGCTTTCCGCAAACTGTGCAAAACTGAATTATTCAAGAGGGCTTTTCTGTGCAGGCAATAGAGTTGCACTGAACAAAATGATCCACAAAGTTATTTGGATAAATTATATGGGACTGTGGTCTATAGTACTGTGTATAGTTTACTGTAAATAGGATCTGCTGTGCAATTTTTGCATTGTTTTAATGTGTTATGTGAAGACTTGTGCTTGGCTTCAGCTTAGAGACTCTGGCTGGTTCTACAGCCCTAGTCCTAATGCGTCGTTTGCTGAATACCCATCCCGTCGATTATATCGATTCACTCTGTATAATCCGCCTTGAGTCCCAGTGAGAAAGGCAGACAGCAAATTATATAAATAAAAATAAATAAATACAACAGTCCACTTCTGTGTCTGTTAGCTTGGGGCCAGAAGGTTGCTTCATAGGCATTACACTGACAAGCATAACATTAGAGCCATGTTCCTGTGGTGCAATCCTGTGGGAACTGTGTAAGAACGAACCAACCACATGGGCTGTTATCCTCGCTTTTAACAGGTTGGGTTCCCCCCACCCCCCAATGACTCATGTCTGAATTCTTCCATTAGGTGAGCGATTTGGAAGGGAGAACATTTCAGCCTTCACACCAGAGACACCAGGCAAGATCTCTCCAAAAAGACCTCCCAGTGATGCTGTTCCTGAGCACCCAGGCCAAAGTGATTCCTCCTGGAGTTTGGGAAAAGAGCGGCAGGCAGTTGTTATGGAGGGGACAGAAGGCAAAGAGGGCCACGAGGGCATCAGAGTTAGGAAACGTAAAGGGGCCGTTGTCTACCGGCAGACCCTCATGGGAGAGAAACCAAACATCTGCATTGAGTGTGGGAAGAGCTTTCTCCAGAGCTCAGATCTAATTAACCATCGAAGAATTCATACAGGAGAGAAGCCCTATACGTGCCCAGACTGTGGGAGGAGTTTCAGCATGAGCTCAAACCTTCTCAGGCACCGGAGGACCCACACAGGAGAGAGACCCTATAACTGCACTCATTGCGGGAAAAAGTTCACTGATAGATCAACTCTGGTCCAGCACCAGAGAACCCACACAGGAGAAAAGCCTTATCAGTGCCTGGACTGTGGGAAGACCTTCAGCCGTAGCTCCCATCATAAGAGACACCTGAAGAGCCTGGCAGGAAAGCTTCACAGCCAGCACAGCCATCTTGAGAACGCAGCCGGGAAGGGTTCCCCTGCCTTGAGAGAAGCAGGTATGGCCAGGAAGAGTGTCCCCGTCAAGTTCCCAAACACATGCGCAGAGTGTTGGCAGAGCTTCAGCCAGAACTCGGACTTGATCAAGCACATGCGCATCCATACTGGGGAGAAGCCCTACGTTTGTGGCCACTGCGGCAAGTGCTTCAACGTCAGCTCCAACCTTAACCGGCACCAGAGAATCCACACGGGGGAGAAGCCCTACACCTGCTCTTACTGCGGGAAGAGCTTCACTGACAAATCCACCCTCACCCAGCATCGTCGCACCCACACAGGAGAGAAGCCATATAGATGCACTTACTGTGGGAAGAACTTCAGCCACAGTTCTCACCACAAGAGGCACGAGAAAATCCACATGGAGGGAAACCCTGTTGTGTTTATGCCCCTGCAGGCCTATCCCAATCAGATATTCTCAGGCACACAGGTTTCTTGAGAAAAATGGAAGCCTGCCTTGTGTGTGTGTGGGGTGGCTGGGGAGAATTGTGTTCTCTGGAGATCTCAACCCATCTGCCTGTATGACTTCTCTTCTTAAACTGGCTGGTTACTCAGTACCTCGGAACAAGATGTGAAACTCCAGTATTAGACCTACTTGCCTGGGGGAAAACAATGCTTAAGCATTTAGGGTTCTGACTGTGCAATCCTAATCTGAGTTACACCTAAACCCTCTGATTTTGGTGGATTGAGAAGTGTATAACTGCTTAGGATAACACAGTGAGATTTTTTAATTTTTTAGAAAGCTCAGACATTGCTACAGTTACAGTATTAATGAAGCTTTCTAATTCACCAGTGTCTGTTGCCTCAATCCTAAACTTAATTTAAGTAGCATCTTATAGGAGTGAGTTCCACATGCTAACAAGACATCACCGTTTAATCCAATAAATCATCTCTTTGTTTCCCTTTTTCTTTAGTGGTGATTTTTTTGTGTGTCAACCATTTCACAAGTTTTAAACTGTGTCATACATGTGTGATTCCTGTGTCCTTCCTTCCCAATCCTACCACTTTATGTGCTTTTGCTTCTGAGGTGAAGCAGGTAATAATATACTGTGAAAGAGGCAGGGCAAATTTTTTGGCCCGATTCTATAGCAAAGCCAGGCATAGAAGCCCTTCTGTTCCTGTCCAAGAATGCTTCCGTTCCCCAGCATCTGTGCCACATGGCTTCTGGGCTGTAACTTGGGGGTGAGCCACATTGTATACAGAGCGTGTGTGTAACATGCAGGAAGACCCAGGTGTTATCCCCATTTAAAGGATCTTCTCAGATAACAGGTGCAGAGGTAGACCTGAGATCCAGGATAGCTCCTGCCAGTCAAGGCAGACAATGTGGGGCAAGATGTACCAAGAGTCAATTGTTACGTTCAGTTGTCGTGAGCCATGCTCCCTCTAAGCTGTGGAGTCGTATCAGCAAAAATTGCACTTTGTGGGCTACGGGCATTAAAGTTGTGAGCGAGCTATTTGGCTTACTGCATAAATTGGTTTGCTCTGGAGCCATCCTTCCTGAGCTAAGACAAAACTGTGTGAGCTGGAGGCTAAAAAACTGTGAGCTAGCTCACACTAACTCAACTTAGAGGGAACACTGAGTTAGTGCTTTAGTTGTGACCAGTGGGAAAAGACTGGGGTTTCCTGTGCCTCTACACCTGTGCAGACTGCTTCCCAACACAGTAGCGCAGGAAGAATTATTGATCTGCAACAGCAGTCCTCAACCTGGTCGATCCGGCAGACACGTTTGGAATGTTGACAACTGGTAATGGTTGCCACAACAAAATAGCTGCCACAGGGGCTACAGCCAATCACAAATCACTGGAAGGTTCTGCAGACCATTAGGAGGTTCCCAGTCAAGCATCCTCCTGAGATGGAGTGAGCTGTTTCCGAATCAGTGTGCTCCCTGCAGACTGAAAGGTGGTGTCTGCCGGGTTGTTCTGAAGCACCTCCTACTCCACTGAAGTGAGGGAAAGCCATGATTGGCCGTTTGCTTTGGGGAAGAAGTAACTGGGCATCTGGAAATGCATTGACAGGTTGGCGTGGCATGGCATGCATTGGCATCATGTTGGGGATGGCTGCTTTAGGATAAGGATCAACGGCTGGAGAACTCAGAGCCAATAATACTCCCTGGAAGAGTGCTTTGGTCCTCTAGTTGCCAACTCTGGCCCACCATCTTGCAGAGAGTCCATAGTGCAGACCCATAGACAGCTTAAAGTCAACAGGTGATCAGATGCGAGAATCTTGCATCTCTCCTTACTCACTAGTTACATTATGCGTATTGACACCATAGTCTAGGAGAAATCACACACCATGTGTAATTAAATAGCTCCAGGAGTGTACCAATGGAGGAATCACATAACTGAATGGGTCCCCCATGGCCATGGGAAGCCCTAAATACAGAAAACTAGCATGTCATAAGAACATAAAGAGAAGCCAATGTTCGATCAGGCCAATGGCCCATCCAGTCCAACACTCTGTCACACAGTGACCAAAAATACCAGGTGCCATCAGGAGGTCCAGCAGTGGGGCCAAGGAAAAGACTAGGCTAAAAACATCTTTAAAATGTAGGGTTTTGTCTGTGATATTTTTAAAAACATGGTGGAGCTGTCACTCATATAATCTCCAACCTACAGTCTGAAGTGGGACAGTTTAGGAATATGTTTTCCATGTGTTAGTGTAGATTTGGCTTTTGCTGGTAAGATGGAAGTATCCCTCATATGCTGCATTATGCACCATCCAGCAGTTTGTTTTATTTTATTTATACTTCATTTGTAGCTAGCCTTTCTCACTGACACTCAAGGTGGATTACAGAATTTTAAAAACAGTTCCATCAGACCAGTGAGAACCTCTGGTGAATAATGCAGTGAGACTAGAACTGGAAAATAGTGCAAACAGCAGCTACTGGACTATCTCAGCACAGCATGCCATAATGAAGAAAGTGGGGTTAGGAATTGGCATTCTAATTAAACCAAATCTGAGGCAAAACAGTAGGGAGCTAATATATTTGAGGTGGGGTGGGAGAGGCTAATATTCTATTTTTTTAAAACCGCAGGCTGCTCTGAGGACCTTACAGGTAAATAGTGGGGCGTGTGGCAGCAGAGCCAGTATGGTGCAGTGGTTAAGAGTGGCAGACTCTGATCTGGAGAACAAAGTTTAATTCCCCACTCCTTCACATGCAGTCAGCTAGGTCACCTTGGGTTAGTCACAGTTCCTCAAAGCTCTCAGCTCCATCTACCTCACAGGGTGTCTGTTGTGGGGAGAGGAAGGGAAGGAGATTTTAAGCCACTCCAAGTGAAGAGTGGAGTATAAATCCAACTCTTCTTCTTACTTCCACTGTTCTTGCTAGGAATGTGATGTTCCCATTGGTCCTAAGGATGGCAGTTATGGGTAAAAACATGAAGTTCTCTTCTACGGCGCTGGACCCTTGGTCCATCAAAGTCAGTATTGTCTACTCAGGTTGGCAGCAGCTCCCCAGAGGACTCAGGCTGAGGTTTTTCACATCACCTACTCTACTACCTGGTCCTTTTAATGGAAGATGCAAGGGACTGAACCTGAGACCTTCGCCATGCCAAGCAGATGTTCTTCCACTGGGCCACCACCCCTTCCCAAAGACGGAAGTGGGAGAGGTTATATCCAGAGCAAGCCACCAACTATAGTAGCAGGCTTGCTGGCACTTCTACCAGGACTGAGTTCTGTTGGCCACTTCCTTTCAATGAATCGGTCTCTTCAGAGGAGGTTGCGTAAAAACTCTGAAAGCTACTCTGTCCCAAGTTGTCAAGTTTATTTTCAACTTACTGCTTAGGACTTTGCAGAACTGGAGAATGAGGCCTGGAGAAATACCCTAATGCTGAAAAGTTTCTGAACCTAATTTCTCTGTGTTTTCTTTTTTCAGAATATTTTTGTATTCTCAAGAGAAAGTATATTTAAGAAGCAGAATTTTACAAATTTTCTGGGATTTTGGATCCGATGCCAAACTTTTTTGAAAAATGTAAAAGACACCCTATTACAGTCTAACAAATATTTTTAAAACTTGTCATTGGACAAGGAGAAAGGGGGTGGTGGTCAGTTTCTTTATTCAGTTCTGAGAGATTGAGTCTGTGTGTGGAAGAAGGCACTGTGAAAATGAGGGGGCTATGAGGAGAAGAAGAATGTGCTGTCAAGTCACAACTAATTCATGGGGACCTCATCCACATGGAGTTCCAAGCAAGAGAATAATGTAGAAATGCTTGTTGAGAGACAATGGAGTAGGACAAAGAAGGCAGTGGAGAATCATGGGAGATTAGAAGAGATGCTTGGATAAGGGCATCCCTTCTTTCCAGTATTGTATGGTGTGAGAGTGTGCATCAATATATGGGAGAGAAGGGAAGGGTATAAGGGTATGTGGGGGGTCATGCATGGCGGAAGGGAAGCATTGGGGGTCCCAAATAATGGGAAATCTTCCTTCTCTCTCCTGCCCTGTTATCATTTCTTAAACCAATACCAACAAGCTGCAATTTTGTAAAACCACATCATCCACTGGATTTTCAAATTTTTTTTAATACTGGGTGTTTTAAAGAAACTTCTGAGACTAAAATATCAATCAGCAGCTCCGACCAAAACAAGCAACCAAACTCTGTGGAAATCAATAGACGGGACAAAAGGAAACGAGAGAGCAAAAAAATACGCATCTAGGGAAATAACTCCAATATAAGGGCTGGGGAAGCAGGGGGCAGGAGAGAGGAAACACACAGTTCTGCTAAAGGTATGGGGAAATGTTCTCACGTGTCTGTCACTACTACCCCTTATCTGTTAGCCCAATAGACTAACCCCCTGTGCCTCCCCACCCACACCCTCCTGTTATGTTACTACACTCAGTCCACTGTTAACTATAGGTGCATGAGGTAAAGTGGATTCCCTTTATTAGCATATCTTCTTTTAGACACACGGGATTCCTTAATCCTGTACCAGACAGCACATCAGCTACCAACCAAGGCCCCTTTTTCTCTGGATCCTACAGAGGGTGTACTGGGTTATATGGGTTGAAGATAACACAAGAGTCACATTTAAGAAAACATATATGTTTATTTAGTTTGTAAGCATAACCTGTAATGCCTTCCCACTCTAGTCTGATAGCTGACACAGTTACCAGAGTTGGGAGGTGAATTCTACTGAATGGTTACGATACTGGTTCTTTCAGTATGTCAGACTTAAAGACTGTTAAACCCCTCCGGTTTGCTTTTTCACCTCAAGATTCCATTCAGCCTTATTGAATCCAACTGGGCCATGCTGAATGGGGCAGAAATATTCTCCTGTCCATCACAGTGCCTGAAACTCCAAAGTCTAGTCACCAGGTGAACTGATGTGATCTTCCAAACTGAAGCACCACAGCTGAAGAGGTCCTGACTCTAAAGCTCCCCTTAGAAAGTAGAGGACATGTGGATCAGGACCTGTGTCACAGATCTTATCTTTTGGGCAGGTTTGTATAGGAGGAGGTGATCCTTTCATTTTAATACTTGAGTTTTCCTTTGCCCATGGTATGTTGCTTATTCTATGGGGCTTTGGGGAAAACAATAAACCAGAGATGCTAAAGAGAGTTCCCCTTCAGAATCACCAGCCGTTAAAGTTGTAAATGATAATGACAGCCAAAGGTTAAACCATAACAGGTATGCTTCCCCCCCAAAAGGCTGAGGCAGGAAGCATACAGGCAGGATTATCAACAACACATACAAGGTAGACAAATAAAGTAGTAGTCTAGATTGCTATCTTTGTCGCCTGAACAACACGATTGCAACATGGATACAGTATTAAACATGCATACCACAGTTCAAGCTACTATATGTGTTTACATTGTATTGTGTGAGAAGGAAATGAAGGGCCACACCAATTGTAGCAAAGAGACAAAGAAAAAATGGTGCAGTGGGGAAGAAAATTTTATTCCAAAATATTAATAACCCCTACATGTTTTGTGTTCAGCTTCTTCAGAAGGATCTGTGGAATATAAATGCAGCAATGCTTTGAAACTTTTCTACTGCACATTTTTTTTAATATGTGTATACAATCTGGACCCTGGGTTGATCTGTGGATACATATGAATTGGACTATAAGAATATGAAACACATGAAAGTGTGTTTAGAGTGCCTGTATACACATTGAATGCAATGTCTAAAGAGTCCTCCAGTGTCTGCAGTCCATCTATGCCCCGAAAGGCAGAAAGAGGATAAATGGGAACATGTATATTCAAAATTTAGCATGAGTTCTCATTATTTTAGCTTGGGTTTAAAGCTGGATCTGAAAAGTTGAACACTACTGGGCAACACTACATCGAGGGGTGCATGTGTACGTGAGGCCAGGCAGACTTGTTTATTTATTTATAAATTCATGGACTGCCCAATTCTTGAGTTCACATGGCTCTGGGCAATGTTGCAGTTATTCCTCACAAGCAACTATTTCTCTGGCCAGCTCACTAGTTTGGTTCATACTGAGAGTGAATATCATGATAAAATAAATTAAAGGGCCTCTTATGTGTGCCAAAAGTGTGGTGTAGAGGTCAGCTGGACATTGGTGGGTTCTCTGAGGCCGCTTTCCCACCTGTTTTATTGTTTCTGTGTTATTTTAATCTTTAGGTTTCGATATGCAAGCCCCCTCCAGGTCGGCTTTCAGAGAAATAAATGAATGAGATAGATCAAGATGGGTTAGCCATGTTTGTCTGTAGCAGTAGGAAAGCGTAAGGGTCCAGTAGCACCTTTAAAGGCTAGCAAAATTGGTTTCAGGGTAGGAGCTTTCCTGAATCACTGCTTCAGTGTTAACGAGAGCGCCTTTCAGCATGTGAAGGTCACCTTCCCACCGCAGCCAGCCCCTTCCCATTCGCTCCCAGGCCTCGGGGCTCCAAGCTGATCGACAGTCCAAGGCCCAACCTGGGGCGAGGGGCAATGGCTGAGGCAGAAGGCCTGGCCGGGCTGCAGCCACCAGAGGGCTCCTGCGGCTGCCGCGCAAAAGCTGCAGCTCTCTTTGTCTGTTCAGGCTGAGGGTTGAGCTTCCTAGGTCAGGGTCTGCCGCGGCTGCTTCCTCCATTGTGAGCCCGAAAAAGTCCGGGCACAGCTTGGCAAGGGAGGGCGTCTCTCTCGCAACCCCCTTCGCCCGGAGCTACCACGCGCAGCTCATCTCCGGAGTGGCTACGGGCAGGCTCTCCCGGTCCAGCAGGCGCCTCCTTCGTTTCGCGCTGGGGCTGATGCGCGCCTGGCAGGTGCTGGGGATTTGGGTGCTGTTTTAGCAGGAGGGAGTGACTAAAAAGAGTTGAGAATAATAGGGGGGGGGAGGGGTCGGGTCCCTGGAATTGCCTGCGACTGTTACCGTTTTCTTTTTGCCTGAAGATAGTTTTAATGGGCTAGGCCTGTCAGTAGATCATAGGTAAATGAAACTTCCATGTTCAGAGGCAGTATACCTTTGAGTATAAACAACAGGGGATGGCTATGTCTGTTGCGACTTGTTTACGAACTTCCCAAGAGAATCAGGTGAGCCATTGGTGGAGGCTGGATTAGGTAGCCCTTTATTTTGAATTTTTATATTTACTTTTGTACTGGGGAGGTATTTGTGGAGAGGTCTCCTCTCCCAGCAGTGCAAATAGGAGCAATGGCTGAAGCTGTTTGAGAATAACTTGCCTAGTGCCACCTAATATGTTCATGGCAAAAGCAAGGTTTGAACCTGGGACTTTCTGGGCCACTGTCTTCGTAAGCCACTATAATGTTTTAACACTTGATTAAATTATTTATTTACCATCCCTGTCTCTCCAATGGGAACCTAAATCAGCTTTTTTTTCATTTTCCTCTTCTCTATTTTATCCTCACAACAACCTTGTACGGTAGGTTAGGCTGAGAGTGTATGACTGGCCCGAGAACACCCAACAAGCTTCCATGGCAAAGTGGGGATTTGAACCTGGGTCTCCCTAGAGCACAGTGGCTTTGAAGCCAGAGTTGCTAACACAGAATCTGACTGAAAGAATGGAAGCATTTTGCTTTTTATCACATCTCATTGGTAGCGCATTGCAAACAGAGAGAGATGGGGGGGGTGTTGCAGTGTGTTAAAGGTAACTTCAGCTTTCTGCCATTTTACCTGATGGACTTTTGGTTTCTGCAAATATGTTTTGATATCAGATTTGTACCAGGTCACCTACTTTTTCAAGTATTTCAACAGCAGAGGTACCCATCTTCCTTCAGCCCAGGCTATCCTGACCTCATTAGATCTTAGAAGCTAAGCAGGGACAGCCCTTCTCAGTATTTCGATGGGAGACCACCAAGGAGGCAGGCAATGACATACTACCTCTGTAGTCTCCTGCCTTGAGAAACCCAAGGGGTCGTCATAAATTGTGTGCAACTTAATGGCACTTTATGCACACCCATAGTGTGGCTGTTATTGCAGGTGCATGGTTGAGTGCACTTTCTGCCTCATTCCCTTTCTGTTTTTCTTTCTCATCTCTACCTAAAACTGTACATTTGTGGTCACGCTTGATTTTAAACAATCATAGTTGTTGTTTTCACTTATGAATATTGAAACTTAGCTTGTTGCATTGTAGGATGGTGCAGTTGAACAAGACATAAACTTGGGAGGGGGGAATGATAACACACATCTTTTCCTTTTCCAGACCTGCCAGTCAAAAATAGGGAAGGTAACGTGGACACAGTAAACAGGAGCAATGAAAATCATGTTGCAGAGTTCAAAACGTTCAGCAGATGCAGAATCTTGTAGCAGGAACATGGAGTTTCTGGTCCTCATGGTTCGCAGGAAGGGGCCTAAATATCTGTATACAGGGTCATAGGGTCCTGCCCCCACCTTTTAAATAAAATGGCTTTCAGGACAGCACACAAGATTTCCAGATGCATGACAACCATAAGAGATTATGTTGATTTAGTGTAAGGTAGCTCACAGTTTTTTAGCCTCTGGCTCACACATTTTTGTCTTAGCTAGGATTTTATAATTCAGAGGGCCTTTAAAGAAGTCAGGGGGCACTGATATCACAAAATAAAATAAAAAAATTTAAAACTCACTTTTGCAGCATTTGCACTCTGCCTGCCTACGTGGGGAAGCAAGGCGCACTTGGGGGAAGGGGAGGCAGTGGGGAGTCCTCTGGGCAGCTCAGAGAGTCGGTAGTGATCCAGGCGGCCCAGAGAGCCGTGGGGGCTGAGGGCTGGATGGAAGTCATGGGACCTTGGCAGGAAGCTGGGGGGCCAGGCCCCGAAATGCCCCACTGTAGCTACGAGCCTATAGCTCAGGAAGGGTGGCTCCAGAGCAAACTAATTTATGCAGTAGCCAAATCACTCACTCACAACTTTAATGCCAGCAGCTCACAAAGTAGAATTTTTGCTCTCAAGACTCCACAGCTTAGAGGGAGCATTTGTGATTCACGTGTCTTCACTGGGGTTGAGATGCAGGCGAAGCCTAATGACTTTCAAGACCATCAGCTACCATGCATATATTTACCTAGAACATACCAGGGAGGTGCTGTGGCTCAGTAGTAGAGCACCAGATTTGTATACAGGAGGTTTTAAGTTCAGTGCCTGGCATCTCCACTTAAAGAATCTCAAGCAGCATGTTGGGAGAGACTCTCCTCTACCTGCGGGACCTGGAAAGCCACTGCTGTTGAGAGCAAGCAATACTGAATTTGATGGACCCGTGGTCTGACTTGATATAAGGCAGCTTCATATTTGAGTGAATGAATAGATCAGTGGTTTTCAGCCTTTTTTAGGACCCTTGTAATATATCATGACATCCTTCCAATGCTAACTTCCTCTTTCCCCTCCCCAAGTTTAAGGGAAAAGAGATAAAGCTGTCAATAATTTATTTAACAATGATAATAGGTAAAGGTAAAGGTTTTCCTTGCTTGAAAACCAGTCAAAACTGACTCTAGGGATGCGGTGCTCATCTCCGTTTCCAAGCCGAAGAGCCAGCGCTGTCCGAAGACGTCTCCATGGTCATGTGGCTGGCATGACTAGACGCTGAGGCGCACGGAATGCTGTTACCTTCCCACCGAAGTGGTACCTATTTATCTACTTGCAATTTCTTGCTTTTGAACTGCTAGGTTGGCAGGAGCTAGGACCAGAGACAGGAGCTCACTCCGTCATGCGGCACCCGGGTCTCAAACTGCTGAACTACTGACCTTCCGTTCTGCAGTTCAGTGTCTTAACCACTTGAGCCACTCAAAGGCAAAAAACTTGTACTAAGTAATCATCGGGAAATTGCAGGTTGTAAAATTTCACAGAATCCCTACAGGATGTTCAAAGAATTTTGGTTGAGAACTCTGGGATACATCATTCAACGCACTACTAACTTTTGAAGCGTATTCACAGTCCAGGGACTTGAAAGTGCTGGGTCCTGTTTATTCGTTTTCTTTCTGGATTTCATGTTTATACCACCCTTCCTCCAAAGAGCTCAGGATTATTCACATGTTTCTCCTCTATGTTCACAATCATGTGTGGAAAAACTGGATTGTTCCACCCTTTCATTGTATTCTTTTGAGTTGTCATTTTGTTCCTCTTGACGTGCACTCAGAGAAGTAATTTTCCAGGTGAATCAGTCTGGAAGGACCCTGAGCTGGATAGCCCAGGATAGCCTGATTCTATCAGATCTCACACTTCCAAATATCAGCCTTGGCTAGTATTTGGAAGGGTGACCTCCAGTGTTCCCTCTAAGCTCAGCTAGTGTGAGCTAGCTCACAGTTTTTTAGCCTCTGGCTCACACATTTTTGTCTTAGCTCAGGAAAGATGACTCCAGAGCAAACTAATGTATGCAGTAGCCAAATCGCTCGCTCACAACTTTAATGCCTGTAGCTCACAAAGTAGAAATTTTGCTCACAAGACTCCAGAGCTTAGAGGGAACATTGGACCTCCAAGGAATACCAGGGTCATGACGCAGAGGCAGGCAATGGCAAAAACCACCTCTGAAGCATCTCTTGCCTTAAAAGCAAGTCTAGCTCACCACCTAGTGGTGTATTCACACTAAAAGAGCTAGAACCTCTGGCTGCCAGAAAATCTTAGGATCTCCTGGCTATTCTGCACACAATGCCATACGATGATTATAATTATTAATCTGGAAGAAAAGTGTTACCATGTATGTGACCCTCGGAGGCGAACTCATTGAGTTGGCCATGACCTGGCTGGCCCAGGCTTTCCTGATCTCTTCTTGGAAGCTACGCAGGGTCAGCCCTGATTCGTACTTTGGTGGGAGACCACCAAGAAGTCCAGGGTTGCTACGCAGAGGCAAGGCAATGGCAGGCCACCTCTGCTTGTCTCTTGCCTTGAAAACCCTATGGGGTTGCCATAAGTCAGCTGCGACTAGATGGCCCCTTCCGCCACCATTGAGTTGACCTTGGCTACACTCCCTCGGGCTGCAAAACTGTACCTCCTTAATCAAGGCTCTTTTTGTAGAAAAAGCCCAGCAGAAACTCATTAGCATAATAGGCCACACTCAACAGCAGAAACTCATTAGCATATTAGGCCACACCCCTGACAGCATAGCTCATTAGCACATTAGGCTGCACCCCCATGTTACCAGAAGTGTGGTCATCCAGCCACACCCACCTTTTGCTTGTTATTCTGTTTACCTTGTGTGTTGTCAAAACCCAGGGCCTTTTTTTGTAGCAGGAACAACTTTGCATGTTAGGCCACACACCCCTAATGTAACCAATCCTAATGAGTTTCTGCTGTTGGGTGTGGCCTATTATGCTAATGAGTTCCTGCTGGGTGTGGCCAGCTTGGGCGCCAGCCGGAACTCCGTTCCTGTGCGTTCCTGCCCAAAAATAGCCCTGCCCTTAATCAGCTTTCATTTAGTTTGTCTTCATGGGATTCAGGAGGGGCCCTGAAGGTTCTGTCCCAGAGGCAACCCCATGCCACTGGGGCAGGTAGTACTTGAATGACCGATGTCAGTAGCATTGGCCCTCTACCCTCCTGATCATTGCTGAGAAAGAGGGTGATAGGAAAAGCCCATATGATAGACAGGACTGGACTCCATCTCAGTGTAGTGACTCGCGGGCCACCTACGAAGATGGCCTCTGTTCTCAGCGAACATACACAGGCTTACGCTTCTAGAGTTTTGAAGCCATGGATGATAGATACATATTAAAATGAAGTGGCTCTCACAGTAACGGATATTTGAAAATTGTGCTTCCCCAGGTGACAGTGTTGTGGCAGAAGACGACTATGGTGCCATGGAGGACGGGTCGCAGAGCCCTTCTTTCTGAATGTTCCGGAAGATGTTAACCACCAGTACTAAGCACAGCCAGCCCCGTGACAGGCGCCTCCAAGCTAAAGGAGGGGAAGAGGAGATGCCCCGGGTCCGTCCCATGAAAGCCATCCGAGGCATCAGGAAACGCAAAGACTTTGTGGTGCATCAAGGCACCCAGACAGAAGAGAAGCCCAACATTTGCATCGAGTGCGGGAAGACCTTCAGCCAGAGCTCCAGCCTGGTCAACCACCGGCGAACACACTCCGATGAAAAGCCCTACAAATGCCCAGACTGTGGGAAAAGCTTCGGGGTCAGCTCCAGCCTGAACAGGCACCAGCGAATCCACACGGGGGAGAAACCTTACAAATGCCCCGAGTGTGGAAAAAGGTTCAACGATAAGTCCAACCTCACCCAGCACCAGCGGATCCACACAGGCGAGAAGCCTTACAAGTGCATCGACTGCGGCAAGTGCTTCAGCCGCAGCTCCCACAAAAAGCACCACCTGCGGCATCCGCTGGGGAAGAAGCTGAAGAAGGGCGCCCAGGCGGATGGTGCCTGTGCCGCAGCCGGTGCGAAACCAAAACCCAGGCGGAAAGTGGAGGTGCTGAATACCTGCACGGAGTGCTGGCAGAGCTTCAGCCAGAACGCGGATCTCATCAAGCACATGCGCATCCACACGGGCGAGAAGCCCTATCAGTGCAGCGTCTGCGAGAAGAGCTTCAGCGTCAGCTCCAACCTGTTCAGGCACCAGCGAATCCACACGGGGGAGAAGCCGTACGTGTGCTCGGACTGCGGGAAGAGGTTCACCGACAAATCCACCTTAGTTCAGCATCAGCGCATCCATACTGGGGAGAAGCCCTACGCCTGCAGGTTTTGTGGCAAGAGCTTCAGCCACAGCTCCCACCACAAGAGACACGAGAAGATCCACAAGGGAGAATACCCTTTGTTAGCGTTCCCTGCCCCGCTGATCTAGCCAGATACCGGGGGGGGGGGGGGGGGGGGGGGGGGAGGAGAGAGGCTGCTAGTGAGTGTCTGTTTTCCAAAGCATCCAAATTGCTTCCGAGACTAGCCACTAAAGGTTGAGGCTAGGATGGGGTCATGGTCAGATTGCCAGGCCACTAAATCTCAGATCAGTGATAATTGTTGAGATGGAGCCCTCATTTCGAAAAGGTGGCAAGGTAAAAATATTCCTGGACTGTACCACTTGAGACTCTGCTATGTATGTGGGGGGGGGGGAGCATATATTTTAATACCCCCTTCACTGACCAAGCTGAAACCTTTCCCCTGATGTACTAGTTCTCAACATACAGAGAGGAATATTTTTTTTGTAACGTGGAAGAGTTATTCATAAATGTAATCCACCACCTGAAGTCTGAAATGGTTTATGCCAAGAAAGGATCTGCAGCAGGATTTTGCTACATGTGTCTATCAGCCTTTGGTCCCTATGCAGAGATCCTACTGTTTTCTCTCAGAGGTTGTTCTGGCAGTGGATTAGCATCTTGACTTTAAAAATAAGCTTCTTTCTTTCATGGGGAACTGGTTGAACACCCCGCCGCTTTTTGCTAACCTCAAATGCTTCCTGCTATTTTAAAAAAAGAGATCTGTTTATAGAGCTGCATACATACTGTGGTTCTTCCACTGCGTAAACATTTCCTCCATAAGCGAAAGAGTTTTGAATGAGCATGTTCAGACCGTGTGGGAGCCATCTCTTTTTTTTCAGTGTCCTTTCGTAGCAGAGAGAGGGAGGGGCACCAGAAACTTGGACCCCCACCAACTCCAGCTGATCCTGTTTTCCAGTGAAGACTGAAATGGAACTCTGAAACCTCCCCAAAGATCCAAGTATAGATTTTCCTGTCCCTTGGAGAATATTATAGGTTATGTCAGGACATTTTACACTTGGTGTTTACTCTCTGCATAAGGCATCTCTTTGTCATTCCTGGTGTATCAAAGATGAAATTGACCCTTTGTCCTCTACAAAATATTCCACCATATAGTTATGGATTTCGATTAAAGGCAAAATAAGATTTCCTGTTTCAATCTGTGTTGTAAAGCGAACACAGCTGAGTTCTTGTGTCAGAAGGGTGAAACAGCAGTGTCCCCTTTACCCTGCTATGTCCCATTCGTCGTCATAAGCGCTTACTGTACCTCCATTATTTTGCCCTTTCCTGTTTAAAAGCATGGCTGAGCTGAGTGTTCAGTTGTAAGGGACACACTGGGAATCTAAGCTGGAGGACCTCGGCCTGTCTCTTTGCATATTAAATTTGCATGGAATTTGCATGAGGCACATTAAAATGGCAAGGGGAGGATACTGGCCCCATAGATTCAAGTTCTGTTGCACTTTCCCCCCAGTTTCTTCCGTCAGGCTATCTGTGTTACTTTGAGGACAATCAGCTATTAATTGGATCTCAGTTCTCAGTTTATATTGTCACATGCAAACGTGGGCTTAAGACAACGGTTTCAGTGCAGGGTAGCATCATGGTGGTTGTGTACTTGGATGTGAATACCTGAATGCAAAGATACACATGTTGTCATCAAGTCTGGAAGTGTTTACATGAATATATGATGTTAGCTGTATAAGCTCCAGGGGCTGCTAGGTGGCACAGGGAAATAATTTTGGTTGATGTTTCACTTGATGTGGAATCTAGGCTGTGTAAACTTGATAGTATATATTCTAGGGTATGTTCCTCTTTAAAATGAATGAGTAGGGTCCAATTTGGGTCCACGGATGCGTTCTTTAAAAGAAAACATTGTGGAGAATCCCCATGTATTCCCTTCAAAGATGACCGGTAAAAGTTTCTTGAATTTTATACTCTGGTTTGTATCCAAATGCAGAAAATTCTGTAAGAAGGGGCCATTGTATATATTTTTGAAAATCTTCATTTGTCCTTTTGGTTCATCTTCAGAGTTTTGTGTTCGTATTTACAATCTAAGCTACTGTTGTATAATGACATTTTAGGCTAGTTGACAGGAAAGTAAGAACAAAGACCCCCCCCCCCACAACACACATACAAACATGATTTTTTAAAATGACCGTAATGCAACATTTGGCCACCACAGGAATACCTGGGACCTTCCAGCTTTTGGTTATGGAACATGCTTGCTCTCCTGTTTCCTTATCTTCAATGATCAAGAATAGTAATCAAAAAGATTTCAGCTAGAGAATTTTTTTGAAAAATGTTTTCATCTCTATGTTTAGGGGAAGGAGGGGGATAGAAATGCAAAAACATCATACATCCAGGGCATTGTTTTTAAAGAATCATAAAATCATAAAGTTGGAAGGGGCCATATAGTCCAACCTCCTGCTCAATGCAGGATCAGCCTAGAGCATCCCTGACAAGTGTTCGTCCAGCTGCTGCCTGAAGACTGCCAGTGAGAGGAGCTCACCACCTCTCCAGGCATCTGATTTCACTGCTGAATTACAGTAATTCCCCCCCCCCGACATCCAGTCTGTACCTTTCTGCCTGTAATTTAAACCCATTATTGTGAGTCGAGTCCTATCCTCTGCTGCCAACAGGAACAGATCCCTGCCCTCCTCTAAGTGACAGCCCTTCAAATACTTCAAGAGAGCTGTCATGTCCAGTGTTCCCTCTAAGCTGAGTTAGTGTGAGCTAGCTCACAGTTTTTTAGCCTCTGGCTCACAGATTTTTGTCTTTACTCCAGAGCAAACAAATTTATGCAGTAGCCAAATCACTCGCTCACAACTTTAATGCCAGTAGCTCACAAAGTAGGGGTTTTGCTCACAAGACTCCACAGCTTAGAGGGAGCATTGTCCTCCTCTAACCTCCTCCAAATTGAGCATTCCCAAGTCCCTCAGCCTTCCCTTGTAGGGCTTGGTCTCCAGGCCCCCAATTATCTTCATTGCTGTCCTCTGCACTCGCTCCATTCTGTCCACATCCTTTTTGAAGTGAGGCCTCCAGAACTGCACACAGTACTCCAGTTGCAGCCTGACCAATGCCATGTACAGCAGGACTATGGCACCTTGTGACACGAATGTTATGCTTCTCTTGGTACACCCCAAGACCACATTTGCCTTTTTTGTAGCTGCATCACACTGATGGCTCACATTTAGCTTACGGCTCACTCGTACTCCAATATCTTGTTCACACACACTGCTACACAGAAGTGTGTCCCTCCATCCAGTGTGCATGCTTCTCATTTTTGTTACTCAAGATGTAGAACTCTGTACTTATCCTTGTTGAACTGCACCTTATTCACATCTGCCCACTTTTCTTCTTTTTCAGTTTGGTGCAGATCTCTGAGAGACCAAAGTTTAGGACTTTTAACACACTACCTTGAATAGAAATATAATATGTACTTAGATCTTCGTCCTTGATCAGAACTCAGTATCATACTTCTGAGTGAGACCAACGACGTATTTATATAGTGGCATTAGAATGTGTCCATGACTGTCTGTGACTTCTAGCAGCTTTTTAATGTTTTTTCCCCTTGGATTGGTTTAAAACTTTGCAAAGTACTTGTATGGATCCTAGTATCACTTTCGGATAGGTCACTCAGTACTGAGAAGTTCCTACTAGGTGCTAAAGTGAAGAGAGAATTACTTTTACAAAAGTCATAAGACGTTCTATGGAACTCACCGCCATGACTTCTAATCCCTTCCCAGCTGAATCAAGTCTTTAGAATGGAATAAAAATAAGATTTACTACCAGGCACTCTGAAGCACTTTGCCTCTTATCTACCCTGATTATGGTATGCAGTCACCTAGCTTGGTTCAGGTCTGTTTCACGCAGGGATGTTCATCAGATGATACATTACCAGTACTGTCCTAAGCAGAGTTATATGTCCTTCTAAGCCTGTTGAGGTCTGTGGACTTAAAAGCAAGTCCGGCCCAAAGGCTTTTGTTGCCTTAGCTGGGGTATGACTTTGGTGCCATCCCCGCATTCAGTACAGGAAAAAAAGATGAGACGTCTAGATTGAACTTCTATCTTTATTTACTTGGCATTCGACATGAACAGCGTAAAAAGAACAAGAGATTTTTAAAATGGATTTTGTAAAAAAAAAAAAGAAGTTTGCATTCATCCCGACATATTTTTACTGTATAGGTAAACGGCCACATGCCCTGAATTGGATAGCCCGGCTAGTCTGATCTTGTCTGATCTCAGATGCTAAGCAGGGTTGGCCCTGGTTAGTATTTGGATGGGAGACCACCAACAAAGTCTGGGGTCGCTAAGCAGAAACAGGCAATGGAAAACCACCTCTGAACACCTCATGCCCTGAAAACCCCAAGGGGAGTTGCCATAAGTTGGCCGCAAGTTTCCACCACCAAACTGGCCAGTAGCTGACAGGTTTAACCGTCTCGAGTTGTACACACACAGTGTTTCTAGTCAGCAGTATGAACAGCTGCAATTTCAGATGATAACAGTATACATATATATGCACACGATACAGGCACATAAAAGAACTTCACTTTGGTATTATTTGGCACCCCTTAAAGCCCAATGTCTTAGACAACCACCAATTGTGCCTATATGGTCAGGGACTGTCCCTGCTTAGAAGGGTGTAATTGTACTGTCAGTCATCTAGTGATGGTTTGCACCAGTACTGGTTCAACATATTTCATTGCCTGATGCCACTCCCACACCTGCATGTGCCTCAAACACCCCCCCACACACACTGCTGCTTCACTTAGTTGGACCTAGAGCAGCGTACCCTCCTTCCTTCCTGGCTCCCCCTGTAGGGCTTAAACGAATTCTCCCAATATTTTACCTTGCAGGAGTTTGACTCTAGGATTGATTTATAACGGGTGCTTACGCAATTGAAATGATAGCCAAAGATATCAGATTAGGAAAGTTCTACCAGGCATGCTTGGTTTGTGATTCTGTTTAAAAGAGGCCTGGATGGGGGAAGGAGGCAAGCAGAATTAGCTGCTCTGGTTTCTGAGCAGAGGTGGCAGGGAAAGTGTGGTGGGAGTCGTGCTGGCAATGGGCGGGATGGGAGGTC